TATTTCCTCCTCTGGGCAGAGCGTCTGTGGGGCTTGCGGGGGGGGGGGGGGGGCAAGGAGGACAAAGAATTGGGGGTGGCTGCCTGCAAGGCACGCCTTGCTGTGACTCTTGGTGGAGGTCTGCAAGAGGACAGAACAGTCGCTGGTTGATTGCTTGCTTTGAATGAACCTCTGAGCACATTCACTCTCGCCTTCTGAAGCTTTTGCCTGTCTAGGATCTCCGGTGGGAAATCCCTATTGACCAAAGCCTTGGGGTGGGAGGGTGGAGTCTGCTCCTCTACAGGATTTGGCCAGGCCTGCAAAGTCCCAAGCTTCCCCACCTTCAGCTGGGGCTGAAACACATTCCTGGGACTGAATCCAGGCAATGGCCGTAATTTAGATTTCCATGTGCTTTACAAGGTGATGCTGAGAAAGGAATTGTGCCACCTGTGCCAGGCAGATGTACAAAAACGCCCCATGGAAAAAAGCAGAGTAGTGCTCCGGTCTATTCTGTGCACTGGTCTGGAAGAGAAACAGACGGGGGTGGGTAGATTGGGGAGGGGGGGAGAGATGCACCGAATGGTTCTTTGGACAGACACATAATTAACGATGCTTGAAAAGTGGGAGATGTCACCTATCCATAACCCATTCTCACAAATGCTGAGCTGTCACTAATTACAAATGAACAAATGCAGCCTGCATATTTGTTTGAGCTTTACACGGAGTACTTTTTCCGCGGGCATCAAATGTTTTCTGAAGCTTTTTTGAAGTTTCATGATCCTCTAGGAACAAACCTCTAACAATCTACATGGATCTCTTTTTCCGAATGCATAAGCTGAGATTTGGGTATCTTCAGCAACGAGCAGCTGCTGCAAGTATGCCATATTATAAATCTCCATGTCAAAAAAAAAAGTAGCCCTATAAAGATATTTTGAGTCAGGCAGAACCCAACAGCCGACAGTTCCATTTCAACAGCTGTTTAGTTCAATAGTTATATAATAGTAAATTCAGCACTTTTTAAAGAAGGAAGCAATGTGCATCAAAAGCATAGAAACAGTGGTGTCTATGTAAAAAAAGATGGTTCTTTGTTCTTACAAATAATAGATGTTTTGTAAACTTGGCAACCTGGGTGGCTTTTTATAGTTTAGGGAAAAAATGATGTGGGATCTTTATTTATTTATGTATGTATGTATTTGTCAACAAGTACAAGGAAACAAGTATGAAAACACATGAAAAAAAATGGCACAAATAAATGGATAAAAATAAGGAAAACATAGCCATAAACACCTAAAAAGAGTACATATAAATGGGGACAGGAGGACAGGGACGGTAGGCACGCTGGTGTGCTTATGCACGCCCCCTTAGTTAGGGACCTCTTAAGAAACACATAANGGGGAGGAGAGAGGGAGAGACTGGGCAAAAATGCAAACAGGTCATTTTTCAACCCAGCCTCCGATTTCGGTTCAGCTGCTCCCGTCGGGTAGGAAGGAAGCTCAGGTGTGTTGTCTACGGGGAAGGTTGGGTGGTGGTGGTGGTGTGTTTCTCTCGGATCCACCTGCTTGGCCCTCTCTCGTAGCCATTCAGATCTCTGGAGATCGAAACCGCCTTGGGGACCCCTTTCCCTTCCAGAGCCGCAGCAGCAGCAACAGCAAGCGCTGTAGATTTCCTCCGGAAAGCCGAAATGGAGGTCGCGAGGTTAACTGGGTTGAATAATCAAAAGCGAAGAAACGGGGCACAGAAGCGACTTCGCTTCTCAGGGCTGGGCAAAGAAGTAAAGTCGGGCTTTTTCTTTTTTTTTAAAAAAAAAATCGCCTTCCTGAAATTCTGGCTTCTCTCCACCTCCATCCTGGTAGATTTTTAGGCTAAAAAAACAAAAAAGGTCGAGGGTTGTCTTGTTTTAGAACGTTTGAAAAAACGACTTAAAAATCCAACGAAATGAAAACATTTCGACGGCTGTTGGGTTTTAAATCTGGAGAAATTATTATTCCCCCCCCGTCCCCCGGAAAACGAGAAAGGAATAAGGAGCGATAGGAAGAGCAAGAGCAAGCGTCGTTGTAGTAGCAGCAGCAGCTGGCGGAAAAGCATTTAGGAAATAAAAGGAACATTGTCATTAACGGGGAAATGATGAGTCTCTGGATTTCGTTTTTAAGGGGGTCGATTCCCACGAGTGGCGCGACCAGCTTGGGAGCTTCAGTCTCTCGCCCGGCTTGCTAAGCACTGGGGGGGGGGGATAGGAAGGCCGAGACTTTGCCCCCCTCTTGGGCCCAAAAGTGCTGGCAGAGTGACCTCCCCCCCCCAAATCCGGCTTCCAGCTCGCCCGAACTGCCCCGACTAATGCCTTTCTCTCGTTCTTTTTTTTCTTCCCCTTCCCCGCCCCGCTCGCCTGCTTTTCTGTCTTTCCGTTCTCTCTCCCCAGCAGGGCACGGGGGTGTCAACCAGCTCGGGGGGGTGTTTGTAAACGGCAGGCCCCTACCGGACGTGGTGCGGCAGAGGATCGTGGAGCTGGCTCACCAGGGCGTGCGGCCTTGCGACATCTCCCGGCAGCTACGGGTCAGCCACGGCTGTGTCAGCAAGATCCTGGGCAGGTATGAGCGGGCGGCGGCGGCGGCGGCGGGAGGGGAGGTCTGCTGCTCGGCTGCCCCTCGGGGTCCCTCGCCCTGCCCGGGCCCGGCGAGCCCCCACCCCGCTCCTTCCTGCCGCTTTCTTTTGTCTGGCCTGTCTCGACACAGGGACCTGCGGTGGGTTCGCAGAGAGGGGGAAAAGCCCGACGAGCCCGGGGACAAACCGAGCGCCGCCCCGCTTGCGGTGAGACCAGCCGGCAAGCATCCCCTCCCCGCCTCCCAGCTAAGCCAGGCCGGGCCCTGCTTTCTCTCCAGCCGCAGGTCAGCAGGAACCCGGCCCGCGCGCCGCCGCCGCCGCCGCCGCCTTCAGAGAGCTCAGCTAGGATGGGAGTGGGGAGCCGGCCAGCCGGGGCCGCCAAAGAGACCGACGGCCGGGGGGCAGAGTTCAGCCCGAGGCCGGAGAGAAGAAAGAGTCCAGGCGGCCTTCTCTGACCTCGGTCCCTTGCCGGCCTTCTCAGCCTCTTGGGCCCCTACGAAGGGACTGGCCGGCCCGGGCAAGGCGAGAGTGGCCCGGAGCGAAGGCGGGTGGGGGAAGCCCGGCCTTCGAATCGTGGCCCGGGCAGGCGGGTGGCGAGGTGCTGGCGGGGCTGCGGCGGGGACCGAGAGGCTGCGACGGGAGCAGCGCCGCTGAGCCGGGCTTTGCCCTCCCTTCCAACCACCGCAGGTATTACGAGACAGGCAGCATCAAACCGGGCGTGATCGGCGGCTCCAAGCCGAAGGTGGCGACCCCGAAAGTCGTGGATAAAATCGCCGAGTACAAAAGGCAGAACCCCACCATGTTCGCCTGGGAGATCCGAGACCGGCTCCTGGCCGAGGGCATCTGCGACAACGACACCGTCCCCAGCGTCTCCTCCATCAACCGGTAAGTCGCCGCGTTTTGTGGCCCTCCCCGCAGGACGGCTCCCCTGCGCTCCTTTCTCGGGAGCGGGGCCTTTGGAGTGAAGTTCTGCCCACCCGAGAAAGCGAAACACGGGCAGCGGGAGCCCTGGGACGAAAGCCCGCCCCGCAGGGATGCCCGGACGGGCCAAGGCGGTAGAGTGAATGAATTCCTCCTGGCAATTTCTCCTGGGCTATTTCCTCCTCTGGGCAGAGCGTCTGTGGGGCTTGGGGGGGGGGGGGGGGGGGGGGGGGGGGCAAGGAGGACAAAGA